CACGCGTAGTGGTTACTTGGAGCCATCACTCCGAACATCCCCCCCTTCCTTCTTCTTCCCCCAGCCTTATATGTTGAGCATGACGTCATATGGTATGGAATACCCCATTGGCCAGTTGGGTTAGCTGTCCTGGCTATGCTCCCTCCCAGCTTCTTGTCTACCTGGCAGAGCATGGGAAGCTGAAAATTCTTTGACTAGGGTAAACAACTTAGCAACAACTAAAACATCAGCGTGTGATCAACATTATTCTCATACTAAATCCAAAACACAGCACTATACCAGCTACTAGGAAGAAAAATTAATTCTATCCCAGCCAAAACCAGGACAACAAGCAATTGGAGTCCTTCCTTTACTAAACCAATGCACATACTTTGAAGGACCTGAGAGAGTAAATAACCTAGGGAGTGGGACAGGACTGAGAAAAAATTCTAGAGTCTGAACATGTCCACAGAGTAACTCAAGGAGGCACCACCATCCATCTGTGATTTTCTCCCTATGATGCTTACAGGATTTGCTCACTTACTAGAAGGTGCTGTGTTAAGACTACAGAAATAATCAGTATCACATTGCCTATTTTGCACTATCAGAAGGTGTTGAATTGTATAGCTATAATGTATTAAAGTATATAGACAAATTTCTTTTGACTCACATTTTGTAAAAATGTAATTAATAAATCCATCAGCACGCTTTTGCTTTAGAAAAAAAATCACAGCGCCTTGCTGGATCACAATAGACATCATCTACTAGGTTGCACATTGGCTGTCAGAAAAGGTTTGAGAAATATTGTTTACAGTGGGTTACCAGGCAAGCTTGATAAGGTTACAGATATCATCCTCCATCAGTTTGAGTTCAGTCATCACTAGATAGACATTGTGTAGATTTTCCGAACATGCACTTGCTTGTTGATATCAGTACGACACCTGTCATTACTTGTTTTTTAGGAGATGCCTTCCAGGGTCTGATTATGATATCAGTCTAACTCTGTTTATATTTCTGTCTGTTGCTGACAGAAGCTGTGAATCTTCTACAACATAATGGAAAAACAGGGTGACTACTCTCTCCCCACATTTCTCTAAGTACTGTAACAAAGAGTCGCTAAATGCAACTTTATCTTTTAACAGAGTGTAATACAGTCATAGCCTGTCATAAAATCATGTCTTCCTCGATGGGTGGTCCTGGATGTCCAGACACTACATGTCACAATGTTTCGTTTCAGTGATGGAATGCCAATATTTAAACAAGCAGCTCCAAGAAAATCTTCCCCCCTTCAGTGTGTGGTGCATAGGGTCAAGGAATAGACAAGAAAACATCAAAATGCCAAAAATTACAGAATAAAAGGCATGAAGAGTTAAGGCTGAGAAGGAAAGTTTAATTGATGTTTAGGAGTCCCCGGCATAGAATTCCCTGAAAAAGTGGTTTTTTCTATAACGTATCATTAGTAGCACAAAACCCTGTCTTTCTCCTTTTTGCTGGCACTTTAATTCTGTAGAATCATAGATTCATAGAATAGTTTGGTTTGGAAGGGACCTTTAAAGGTCATCTAGTCCAACCCCCCTGCCATGGGCAGGGACATCTTCAACTAGATCAGGTTGCTCAGAGCCCTGTCCAACCTGACCTTGAATGTTCCCAGGGATGGGGCATCTACCACCTCTCTGGGCAACCTGTGCCAGTGTTTCACCACCCTCATTGTAAAAAATTTCTTCCTTATATCTAGTCTAAAAGTCAGTTCAGTCTCCTGTTATCTAGCACAGGCCTCTCCATGACATCCCCTTATTCATTTGGCTCATCTGGCTGCAAGCCACAGCAATCCCCACAGACCTCTCAAACTTTTTTTTCCCTCTTCCCAGGCATTGGATTTCGAAAATAAAAACCTGTATATTCTGAAAGTGGAAGCCACCAATACTCACGTGGACCCTCGATTCCTCTACCTGGGGCCATTCAAGGACTCAGCTACAGTCAGAATTCAGGTGGAGGATGTAGATGAGCCCCCTGTGTTCGGCAGACCAGCATACATAATGGAAGTGAAAGAAGATGTTCCAATAAACAGTGTAATAGGAACAATAACTGCTCAGGATCCAGATGCTGCCAGGAACCCCGTCAAGTAAGCATAGACTATTTCAGCTTGTATGTAAAATTTTACAGCTTTAATTTTGCTTTTTTCATGTCAGCACACAAAAAAATCACTTTTAATAATTAATTTGTTCAGGTATGCTTAAATATGGAGTATTGTAGATGGTAAATGATCTCTCACACTTGAGCATATCTAGGTATGTGTGATTGTGTTTGCATGGCCCTTGCATCTTGAATTACATCCTATCCTCTTCAGTAACTAATGTTTGTGGTTATTTCTACCATGGAAGAATTTACTGCAAAAAGAGCACTAAGAAGATGTTCGTGTTCTCCTTCCACCTTTAACATTTTCCAGTGCAGTGCGGTGTATCCTCTTGGCTATATGACAGGGGGGTGATTCAGCAGTCCTTTCTTCTCCCATCCGTCCAGACCTGCTTAAAAGAGGTCACATTTACTTTCTCTAAACTGCAAGTAGAAATGCCTTAAAAGCAGCTCATGTGCACATACAGACTCTGATCTCACTTGTATCAGTGTAAGGTTAGTAAGATAAGAATCAGTCTCATGGACTTCATAAATTACACTTGCCATGAATCAATAAACTAGTCTTAGAGGAAGTGGAGGAAATGTTAAGGTTGGAGTAGCTCAACCTAAGCCTTCTTTTTTTGTAAATTAACAGCTACATTGTTTCAGTACATTTGAAAACATACTGGAGTACTTAAGTCATATTGGATAGAGTATAAAAGAACTTTTAAATAGTGTGTGCTTTAATTAAAGTTCATTGCTACTGACAAGGCAGTAAGAAGAGGAAATGAAAAATACAGCAATATTAAATCCAGGTCAATTTTCAGCATGTCTCTGGGTTGGGCACCTTGGAAATGCAATAGCAGTCTTAAGATCAAAATAGAACAATGCAGGTTTAATAAAAAATCCAGTCCATCAATAATTTGCCGTTCTGCAAACAACTATCTTTCATCAAGATATCTTACAACGCTTATGAGGCATAAGTAAGTTTTAACCTCTCAGCTCATCTTGTGAGAGGGGTGAATATTATCATCTTAATTTCCTAGATGAAGAAACTAAATCTAAAACGTTTCTGGCTGAAACCCTCTCTGCATGCAATGCCTTGCACATGAATTCTTGTTCAAGACTAAGTCTTCTAATTTTAATTCAGGTTTGCTTTCATTTGTATCATGACATGCCACATACATGGAGTTCTGGACTAGCAGAGCATAGTAACTTACAGAGCAACCTAATGTTTTGCTGATTTTGGTGAAGCCCAGGGACAGAATGAGGACCTCCTATAGCATGTCTTCATGGGCATGCTAGCATGAAGATGAAAAATGGTTGGGGTGACACCCAGGCCCCTTGCAGTCTTCATATGAACCTGCTTTTTTATGTCTAATGGCACTGGAGAGTGAGGGGAGTGCTTCCCTGCTTCCCTCTTCTTCCCTGTGGTGATAACTACAACCATTTGCATTTCACACCAGCACCAGCTCCTAATTATAAGTGATTTACAGTGGATAGGGATTATGCTGTTCATTGTTGAGTACTGCCTACTGGCTTTTTTCTATTAATTGAACGTGTGTGCTAAAACTTACCTATCTTTCAAACGGCAGTTATTTAATACAGTATAGTACTTTGCGTATTGAACTATCAGATAATTATTGAGCAAAATTTAGCAGAGGTGTCAAAATTGATGCAGTGCAGCAGAAAACTTGTCTCCTTTATACTGTCATAGCATGCAACAATCAAGGTGAAAGGAGAAGGAAAAGAAAAATGAGGAAGAGGTTAGAGTAATAGAAATAAACACTGCAAGAAGAAACATGGAAATCAGTAAGAGAGAGCAGTAGCCTGAGAGATGTTAGCTTGCAATAAATGTAATTTTATGGTGCTAATATCTTGGGTATCTCCTAGAATTTAGGGGCATGGGTTGAGTCTGCATCTTTTTGACAGGGTGATTTTTTTTTTTCCATCATGCAATAGAGATGCTAAATCCGATTTTCACTCTGAGCTTCGGGGAAGATGCAATTAGGCTGTATATATATGACTTGTCACTTGCTTGTCAATTTTTCTTGATGGTTAAAAATAAAATCTTTAGACACTTGATATTATAATGAAAACCTTCCATTTTCTCCTCTACTCGAGTGAAGAATTCTCTTTTTAAACAAACTGAGCCCTAACTCTGTTAGATGAAAGCCCCTTTGATCTTCCATTAAAGGAAACCTTCACAATATCATTATGAAAATGCATTATGAAAAATTCACACACACATCCCTTCCTGACCCACAAATCTTCCTCACTTGCGGTTACATTAGACAGCAAGCTGCTGAACATCAGAAGACAAAGAAGCAATAGCAAATATGAAACCGATGTCTACCCTGGTCGTAAGAGTGCATAATCATTCATGACCTGTGTATTGGTAGAGCTACATTTCATCAGTCCAGCCCATATAAATAAGCTTTGCTGTGACATGACATTAACAAAATACAAAAATACACCAATAGATGTTTGGCTATATTTGAATATGCATCCATGTGTAGCGACATTAATACACTCCTGAGTAACACTCCACTGTCCAGCTGTGTTATAAAAAAAAGTTTTGCATTCTGCTTGTGTTTGATCTAAACAGAAATATTATGAACCGCTGCATACTGAAAAAAATAATGCTGCAACTGGCACTGCTATATTGTACATCAGATCTTTTTAAATTGCTAGTTGAGTTTTTTCGCTATAGTAACTCCTCAGAGGCATAATGAAGTTCATCAGTCACTGGAACTGTCTCCCTGCTGTGATTTGATTTACTAAAGTATCCCAGATGAAAATATTCTGCAAACAAATGTAAGGCTTAATTTTGTTTGTGTATTTTACTGACAACATATTTGCATGTGTTAGATTCTCCCTTTCACCCTCCCTTTCTTCCTGTTAGGTACAAGGAGAGACTGGAATCTACATAGATACCTTTTAACTTCCTAGCTTGTCAATTCCTCAAGGTTTGAAAGGGTTGAAGTCCTGAAATCTGACAAATACACACCAGTAATTTCATTAAATAAATGTAAAAATGAGTTTGATGTTGTCTGCTTAATTCTTACTAGGTTATGACCCATAAGTCAGAATCACCACCAATTCAACATAATTAACAGTCTTTGATCAAAAGACACTGGATTATACAAACGGAGAAACAGAAGTGACAGTCTAGCTTATTAAAATAATCCTTCCAGACCAGGATTAATGGTATAACTAGAATATACTTCAACTGCATTGACCTTGTATGTATTTTCTTTTGGATATGAAGAAATAAAATTAACATTTCATTAAGAAGTTGTTCTCTGTTTGTTGGGGTTTTTTGGGTTTTGGTTTTTTTTTTTTGTGAGTTTAACTTTCCACTGTACAAATGACTGAATATACACATGGTTTTACAAGGACTTATATTTTAAAATTCTTAATACCTTGAAGAAGTAGTCCTCAATGTTACAGCTCTGGTAACCTTAGAAAAAGTCCAGAACAATTTGTTTTTCATTTCTTCCAGATACTGTACCACAGATTGAATTTCGGAAATCTTACAAAGTAAAGATAGTGATTACAATATGCCAAGGCATTAAAATGTGCTAAGGCAGTAAGATCTTTTAAGTCCATTCATAATATGAAGCATGAGTGAAAGCATAATTGAAGAAAAAAAAACAATGAACAGACAACTCATGCCTAAAACTAGTTGCTTACTTAAATATCTTGCTGAATAAGAGCCTGAAACATAATATTACAGTTGGCTGGAACAGCTAATCTATGGAAAATCCTGATATTTAACTTCAAATAGGAATGCAGAATCTAGATTTACTAGATGGAAATGGAAATGCAAAATGGAAATACCAAAGTATTTCAGCTGAAAGATGTGGAAATGAGCTACAGAATATCTGAAAAATAATTGACTTCACAAAATACCAACATAATATCATATAAAAGCCTGAATGAATGAAAGTTAAAATGAAATGTTTACCATATCAAATACTTACTTTGTCAAAATATAAGAGAGTCAGACCAGTTTGTATAAACTTGTTTCCGTCAAACACTTCAGCTAAGTCAACAAATTCACGTGTAGTATTTAGATTTGGACAAAACAACACAGGTTGCTGGAGCTGTCCCATCAGTCAGTGATGCGTATTACATACCTTCTCACATACTCTTTTCAAGCTGATGGTAACGTTACAATGCTGCATGAAGGAACTAGGTTAGTGACACCACAGATGACTTCATGCAGCTGAAATTAGTCAAGTGAGAGCAACGAATAAAAACTAAATCAACTCCTGAAAAACTAGCAAGGTATGCCTATGCAAGTCCTACCAAAAAAAATTAGCTTTTTGTGCGAGTATCTTTGTATCTCATTTGGTTGTATCCATAGGAATTTAACATGGAAAAAGAAAAACAGTTTAGTGCAAATAATTAATACTTGCTATAGTTTTGTTTAGGAAGGTAGGCCACACTAAAATTCTCATTTTAGAATAAGACCAGTCTAATTTGCTGGGGGTATTATATCACATTTTTTGCAAAGAAGAAAAAAAATGGAGTTACAAGATAATTAGCAAGTTAGTTCATTTTAAAGCTTTGTCAGAACCACATGTTTCAACTGGACTTTTCTATTCCCTTCTTCCATGCAAGATCTTTCTCAGCAGCTAAGAGGCACTGCACAGGCACTGGGAAATCTGTGCAGAATAAGGGACATGTCATGCAGCTTCTTCTAGGGCAGAGCAGAGAACAGAAATTTTTCTTCAGCTTCTGCTTTCCTCTCAATTCTGTAGTGGCAGTAAACTCTGCCAGCCATTCTCCTGGCCCAGTTTTCATCTGACTGCATACCAGCTCAGCCAAATCTTTATCCTTATCTGGACACAAGGGACAGTAGTAGCTGCCTTGTCTCCATCGACGTGGCTTGCAAGGAGACCAAGGGAGGACACCAGGCTTCCTAAGGCTCTGTCCTGGGTTGTACATCAGCACACATTTGGGCTTGAAATAAGAGCAGAATAATGCAATTGCATTCTTGTTTTAGCAACATCAGAGACATATTTCTGTCAAAAACTCCACAATTTATGCAAGAATTTTCTCTTCATGAGATGAAACCAAGTCACAGCATTTGGATCTCCGTGAACTGGAGAGCTCTGCTTTTAAAGTTGGATTCAGTTCAGCAGAAAAAGCAAAAGATCAGACTGAAAATTTGAATCTGTATTTAGACTCTGAGCTCCTCCAGAGCTTGTTAGCATTCATTTTCACATCTAGATACCATCAAGCAGGGCTGAGCATGTTAGTTTTAATGAATTACAGCAAACCTTTATGTGATATGTACTATGGAATAATGAATCTCTGTTCCATGCTGACTTGTTTTTGGGGGGCAGTCTTTTTTAATGCTGGGAAGTGAAAGGCAGAGATGCACCCCAGCTGTCAAATTTTATATCAGAAATTATTTGGAACAGTTGAGATATCAAACCATAAAAAGAGGGTTTTATAATGGGAAAGCCAACTCAGCCTTAAAATAAACTTCATATCTTTCAGGACACAGACTTCACATTTCTCACTAAAAACAAAGCTTTGATGATTCTCAGAGGTATGTAAATTCTGCAGTAATTCATTTATTCAGTGACAATGCTCCACCTTCTAAATCCAACCTCTGATGTGTCATTATCCATAGCTCAGAACTAGCTCTTTGTGTGAATATATAAAGACTCTGAAGCCTGCACTGAAAAAAAAAGGCAATCCCATTTACTAGCTGTTTCACGTCTAGTCTTAGAAAATAGTTTAAGAACATAAAAATTAAAAGGAATGTATTCTCCTAACCCCTGTCTCTGTATTTGCAGGTACTCTGTAGATCGACACACTGATATGGACAGAGTATTCAACATCAATTCAGGAAATGGTTCGATATTTACTTCAAAACCCCTTGACCGGGAAACACTGCTATGGCACAACATTACAGTAATAGCAGCAGAGATCAGTAAGTCAAACCTAAATACCACTGCTGTCCCTGATGTAATGAATTTAGCCTTCTAGCTGAGCGTGTGAAAAGCACAGCTGGACAGATGTCAGGTTATATGGATAGTCTACTCAATACTAATGAAGAAGTGGAAACTCTGCAAGAGGTGGTCTGCAGTTCTGTGTTTACTAGAGGCACAGTTCATGAAGAGGTAACTTAGCTGAGCAGGGAGGAAAGGTAACAATTCTGTGTTTTCTAATCAGTAATGGCCATTCTTAATTTTGAACATGATTGTTGGATTCTGAAATTGGCATGCAGCAAGGAAGATGGTTTAAAGCCAAATTGCATTCCATGGCTGAATTCAGTCTGATCCAGACTGAATACAGCACAGCCTGGATGTTTTCAAATAAGACTGAGGTGGCTGGGCTGAGCTAGGTGCCAGATCTTAATCAGTTTTAAGGATTTCCATTTTTAACTTTTTTCACGTTCTTTGAAATCACAAGCCACAGTTACAAATCAGTCTGTCACTTAGTTTAGGACTGCTCAGAGGTAATCTTGTGATAATATTAGTCATGTTGATTTTAGGAGCTGAAATGCCAGGGATCTAGATAAGGACATGTATGCTATGTGGCCTTAATAAACAATCCTCTTTATTTTAATACATTAACTATAGGCACGTGACATGTTCAAATATTAGCGAATGCAATTCTATTTGCTTTTGCAGAGTCACAGTGCCTATAATTGTGAAGCATGGTGGAATGGTAGGTAGATCTAATATAAACACCAGTTCTATGACCGTCACAAAGTCTTTGTGCAAATCAGAGGCTAAATGGCTTTTTTTTTTTTAACATAATCTGAAACAATATAAGCTCTACTTTCTTATATTGTGTATATGTGTATATGGCTCAATCAGCTGCTGAACGGTGAGAAGAGTGTAACTAAGGGGTACTTGACTCCAGCTTTCTTTATTCTGTAGGTCGTTTTAAAACTGAAAAGTGATGTGAAACAATACTATTGAGGCAAGCAGGTGGGGTTATGTAAAAAAGTAGTGGGCTAGAGCCTACAGGAATCATGTTTCTTAATAGTTTTCTCCCTCTCTCGAAAGTTTGCACCTTTTAATGCTAGGTATGTGGTTTCAGCATACCAAACACTGACTTCTGGCTCACTGTTAATTAGGTGTTTGTGTTTCTATTAAGTCTTTGAGGAGTGATATAGGGTCAAGAGTTGTACACTACAGACTGAGCTCCTGGGTAGAGGAGGAAGGGGAAAATAAACACCTAAGAAGGAAAGAATAGCAAGAACATTTAGGAAGCACACTTGCATTGATCTCAGTAAAGCTGAAATAATATACAGCATAGAAAATTGTATACTGTCTGAAAACCAACTTAGCATCTATATGAAATACTCATTTAGTTCCTTGCCTCCTCCCCTAAGGACAGACCTTCTACTGGGCCAAACACTCTCAACTAAACCTTTTGTGTCTGACACAGGCTTCTGTCTTAATTACCATTCCTCTTTAGTCTGAACCCTTCCAGGCTGCAGCAAGCTACTTCCCAGGCTATGCTTCACTGAGCCTAGACCAAATTTGGCATAACTGGGGTAGATACTTTCCAAGCCAATTTTCTTGGTTGAAATGCAGCTACTGTTTAAACAAGCCTTGGTCTGATCTGGGCTACCTCACTAATTTTGGTCTCAAGAGACTAGACTGGAAAGCACCACTGCTTAATGCTCCTAGCTAAAACCAGTATTTTCCAGCAAGGCTAGCTAAAATTCCATTCCACTAAATTCCAGCTAATCACTGATTGCTCTCAGTGACATACTATCACATCAGATTTCAGGTATATTTCACTGAAGTAATCTAAAAGAAATATCCAGTCAAGTTACAGGCAGGATGTGCATTCAGATGGATGGCTGCTGCCTTTGATATAAAAAAAGTTAAAAAAAATTATAAAGTCATAAAGAGAAACACCTTTCAGTGATGACTGCTCTTGATTTTATTTTACAGTAGAAAAAAAAAAGAAAATATGGAAGTTGTTTTGCCTTTAATTGTCAGTAAGTGTAGATAGCTCCATTTTTTAATGTTGTTCTTTTTCACCAGTATGAGCTGCAGTTGCTCAGCAGCCCGGAGAATCATGCTGTGAATGTTGCAAACAAATAGTTGGTGAAACACTGGGTCAGTACATCTGCCACAGTCAGTAGGCAAACTGGCAATAAAACTCAGTACACAGGGCTACTGATTCATAGCTGCAGGATTACAGCTGATTTACTGGAGAGAATTCCCAGAGTAATTTTAAATATTCTTTACTTAACACTTAAGGGTAAATCAATTGTTGGCAGGACTTTGAGGGTGTATTCAGAAAAAAAACTAAAAAACTTTAAGAGTTTGATTGCTGGCTCAACAGAAAACATACCACTATAGAGATGAATAAATTTAAGCAGTTCATTAAGTCTGTGGAGCTTTTTTTGGAGATGGAGCCCAGCAGTAATTAAAGGATAATGCGAACAAATTAACTTACATCAATTAATTTGCAAAAATAATTTGAAAGATGACAAAAAAAGACTTAAAGATGTATACATATATTTAAACTTACATTTCCATTAAATCAGAAAAAAGACCCATGTCCATAGATATTTTATGAAGCTTCTATTTATTACAGTATCATTTTAAACTGTAAGACTCTTAAGCACCTAGAAGTAAAATGAAAATATGTAGTTCATCGTTCAAAAAGCAGGAAAGAAAACAATTGTAATTCTTGAGAGGAGAAGAAACACATTTGCCGATATATTTGAGTGTATTTGTTAGAATGGTATGCCCTTATAAAATAGTCTTGCCAATAGTCCTGCGACTTCAAACGAGTACCTTTGATCTCTGCCTATTATAAAAATTTAACATTGATGTATTTTAGCATAGAATTCAGCCTAGTCTATATTATACATAAACTGTTATTTTATACATTGAATGAATTTAGCCCAATGGTTCACATTAGAAAGTGGTTTATGCCTTAATGGAATCATATTAACTTCAATGGGACTGTGGAGCTTTAAAGCACAATATTTTGTCCAAATGACTGAGCTCTGTAATACAAATATACAATGCCAATTTTGGAGAAGGCATTTTCAAATTTATGTAAGTATGATAAACACAGTAATAGGACTTCTATTAAAGCCTAACTCAACAAGCTACTATAATGAAAGGTTGTAGAAGCATACAGAGTCTTAGATCTGCTATATTTTACTGCCTTTTTTTTTTTCCACTTGAATCATAGGTTAAAATACATTAATAAACTATGTTAACATGGGTAGGAAATTAGCATAGCAAAACTTGGTGTGAGCCCTTATGAAAGCGAGGGGGAGAGTATTTATTTTAAGTGAAACTAATTTTGTTCACACTCATTCCCTCATAGCTTTCACTCTCTTCCACTACCACACCCACACACTCCCAGGCACTGAGGTGGGCATGTCTGGGTGACCTGGCCTAGATCATTTTTTGTGTGATATGGAGCACAAAGGACACAGATCAAGTCCTGGCAATGTCTCTTGGTTTCCTTTTGATTGGTGATAACAGATTGGTTTGGGGGCAGGTCTTGTACCTTTTTGGAGTCAATGGTTGTTATGATGTGACTTTTTGCCTCAGAATCTTGCCTATTTCACCATTCATGGCTCCTAGGCAAAGTTGCTGCCCGTTGCCTTTCTTCCTTATTTTGTGTATCTTCATGACTAAAGCCCATCTCCCCCCCACAGGAAAAGTAATGGTCTATACAATGTGGTGCATTTCCAAACGTTTTCATTTTTATCTAGAAAGATAACAATATTTTCATCAGTATTTTATGTTCAGGAATATCCTTGTCAAATTCAATCTCTTGGCAATATACAGTCCTTATAGGGGAAAAAACATGTTTACATATGGGGATCTGCAGAGTCTATACAGTGCTTATGTTCTTCAGCTGATACATTTTAGTGTTAACTCTAGAATATCAGCCAAATCAATTCACAACAGATTAGAAAATATCTGTGATCACAGCCGCAGTTACTATTTATATAACATAATGGTCATCATGGTAGCTCAAGGAACTGTGTCATGAGATTTGTAGGGGACAGAATATTATACATAATAGGTGGAGAGGAATAAAACCATTCCATCCCATCTTCATGACTCTTCAGTCTTCCTGTTTCAGAGTTAAGGAAGGGAATATGTTCTAGAAACTTTGTTGCCACCAAACTGTATTAGTTAGGCTAATAAACAGATTTCATTTCATTCTAGTACTATATTTTTTATGTATATATATCACACATACATTCATAATCGTACCTGGAGTGTTCAAGGAATTTGTAAATCCTGGACCCCTACCCCATCTTAACTGTATAGCTTACACAGAATCAGAGTAATGATAACACAGCAAGGTTTTGTGGAATTCACCCCATAATGCATTCCCCAGAAATCAACAGAATATAAATGGAGTGTTGTGAGTGACAAGAATTAAGGTGATGAGACTCTAAGTGTGTCCTTTTCTTCTCCTGCACTGAGTCAGTAGCTGGGCTAAATAAAATATCTATTCTTTCTGGGTTTATCATTTCAGACAACCCAAAACAAAGCAGCCGTGTCCCAGTGTTCATTAAGGTTTTGGATGTAAATGACAACGCTCCAGAGTTTGCCATGTTTTACGAGACCTTCGTCTGTGAAAATGCGAAGGCAGAACAGGTGTGTTGTCTGTTTGTACTACGAAAATATTCCAGATTAATTGAGTTTTGCTACTACACTTGCATCACCTCATCAAGAGGTATACTTTGCATTGCATCAAACTGTCAGTTTTGCAAAATTAAACTAAACAGTGGCTGCACAGTATCTGATGACACTTAGTATTCTTACAGCTAACGTGACAGTATGTTTTACACTGTTGTTTTCTGTGCTGCACCTTGTTATCCCTGATTCATTTTCATTCTGTGATTCTCTGCTTTATTCAGGCACCTCCACTCTCTCCTTCAAAAACAATTGCAGGTCCATAACTGTTACAGGTCCTGTCTGTGATATAACTATTTCCTGCCAGATAACTCTCACTCTACCAGTCCTATTACTAAATGGTTCAAAGTAGCAGATAATTTGGAAGATTCAGCCAAACAATTCCTGTGACATGAGATTTGGGTAGATAAATATACAGTCAGCTTGGACTGTCTCACCTTTCATCTCTATTGCTTGTCACATGCAAAGCTTTCCTACCCATCTGGAGTGGAATCAACCCAAGCCTGCTCTTGAATACAACATGATTTTCCTGCCAGCTTTCAAATTCATTATGTTACTGGCTGATGGTATGGGATATAATAGCATGGTGATCCTAAACAGCATCAGCAGCACATGGATCACTTTTCTTAAACTCGCCGTAGTAGCATCAGCTGCCTTAAAGCAGAAGAAAAAAAATGAATACAATAAGATTGCTTTACAATCCTAGAGTACATAAATAAGCGTAAGGTCCACTGACTTTGAAGATAATTTTGTTCTTATTGTTTCAGCTGATACAAACATTAAGTGCTGTTGATAAAGATGACTCTTATGGTGGACATCAATTTTCATTCTCCTTAGCTCCTGAGGCAGCCAGCAGCTCAAACTTTACGCTACAGGACAACAGAGGTGAATTTCTAGGAAGACTTTTCGTTATTATCTCATCCTTGCTTTCAGCCTTCAGATGAAGATTTAATGTGTGCTTTGTGTTTCCAGACAACACAGCAGGGATTTTCACCCGAAAAACCAGATATAACCGGCATGAAATGAGTACCTACTTCTTGCCAGTGGTAATATCAGACAATGACTACCCTATCCAGAGCAGCACTGAAACGGTGACTATTCGAGTATGTGCTTGTGACCACCGAGGAAAGATGCTGTCCTGTAATGCAGAAGCCTTGATTCATCCTACTGGTCTTAGCACTGGGGCTCTTATTGCCATTCTCCTCTGTATCATTATATTACTCGGTAAGTAGCTCAGAGGCATTTTGTTCCTCTCATGGTTATTTTGCATTGCTACAAGTGATTATATCAAGGCTAGGACAAGAGCAAAGCAAAGACATCCTTGTCTTATCCTGCATTTGTATCACTGTATTTCCTCCTCTGAGGGCTGCTACAGATATAGTGTGTAGAACACATTCTATCTAATCTTAGTTATCTAAAAGTTAGCAATGTCCAAGCAAGAGAAGACAGCTGGGCTCCACCCTCTGGTCAATGGAAAGAGACAGGCACCTGCAGAGAGACATTCACCCCATGCCCTTATTGGTATCTGAGGGGGACCAGACTAATCACCCTATGCAGGTGTCCGTCTCTTTCTGCTGACCTTAGAAGGAGGCCAGATAACTTAGTTTTAAACAATTAACTTCCTGTGTCTAAACTGAGGAGAAACAAGTCTCAGTGCTTCTGTTCTGCTGGAAAAGGATGCTGAAATGGGGTGACTACTAAAGCACTCTCTCAAAAGCTGCAGGGTCCTCCCTTTCAGGCACCTGTGAATATGAAGAGGTTGGATCCTGAGTGTGGAGGATGTATAGATTTCTGGCTACAGCACTTACAGGTGGTCAACATTTTTTTTTTTTTAATAAAAATAAGGGCAGTTTGCAACATCTCTCACATTCCTTTCACTCAGGTTCCACCCCTCTTGTACAGCAGAGACAATAGGTCCCTCGGCCTTTAGCCATAGTCTATTAATCTGGGGAGAACGGTACAATACAACACAGGCAGTTCTCAGGGAGACGTTATTAGTCACCTTTAATATCTGGCCAGGAAAGAAGGGAGTCAATTTTAGAGCAGTAGGGTCAAGCAGGGGAGAAAACGTTTCCTCAGTGATTCCACTTCTTTCTACCATACTCGTATCTTCCTTGGGCATGCTCATCGCCACTGCAAAATCACCCTGATCTTTACTATTAACAAAATTTCCCACTCCAGTGATGAGTCAAAGACCATGTTGTGATTCTCAGACTTTAACAATATAGTCATGGCTTGCCCAGATAAGCACTATTCCATTTTCAGAAAAGATTCCCACAATAACAATCTTACCCTTAATTCACCATTAGATTCATTTTTAAAAACATGGTATCATTGCCTCTAAGGGCTGAGCTCACTTTGTATCAAGTTCCTTACCAGAAAAAGAAATCTAATGCTGCAGATAGTCTTGCACTCGTTACTACAACTGTGCTCATTAATATCAATCTGACATTAAACGATTTCCTGTTTTATGTCAATCGAAAATAATTGATTCTGTGTGCTAAGCAGCACTTTATGTCAATTACTGCTCACACCACCATGCACCATAAGCAGATTTTCAATTAACTCAGCTATATAATTTTCTATTTTCAGGCTGGTTGCAGGGTTTGCATGTGCAACCACTACTGAATGAAAAACAATACTCTGGGCAGACCTGAATCACAACTTAAAGTTTAGCAGCAAAAAAAAGTGCCTGTAAATTGCTAGGTCTATTTGCAGTTTGAGTAAGTCTAGCGGCTTATCAGGAGGCCTCAGATACTGCTAAACACTGCCAGGCAAGTAAAGGTGATATACTTTGACATATAACTTCTAATGGTTTTTTTGCCTGCAAGTTCAGCACAAAATAAGAAAACCCAAGCATCAGAGATGTGACAGAATAACATCTTGAACATATCCCCTCCCACCCTCTGTGCCCACTTCTCCAACAGTACCGGGGATCATTATTGAGTAAAAATATTTAAATTTGGATCAGGGCCTTGGAAAGAGTTCCTGCCCTCCAAATAAATGATATATATATATACACACACACACACAGATACACTTTAGAATGAAAGGCATAAAATTATCTGTTTGAGAAATCTCATGCCTTTGGGAGATTAAATAATACCATTACCGTATCTCATCAGTCTAAGATTTAAGCCATGTACTTTTTTAAGGTGATGTACATTGTAAAGACATGTCAGGGAAGTTAGTAAAACTTGGGCTTTGTGCTGGCTGAAAATTCACTCCGTATTCCAAGTTTTTTTTCCAGAGGAGGATAGATTTACTTATCTTGAAATGCAGCTTTGCTGACCTATTGTCATAGCCCAGTACGTATTAGCCTTGTCCATAGCAGAAGTTGCATCTCATCTCAGGGGTTCAAGGTAAATAACACCTGATGTTACTTATTTTGGAGAAAGTGTTTCTGCCTTCCCAACTCTCATGAAACTAGCTCTGTTCTCAAGGCAACAAAATTGCTATATGACTCTGGGTAAAAATGTGCCTACTGACAAAAAAGATACTCCACTTGGCTTCTTACAAGCTCGATGTTTCCTTTCTTCTGGTGCATATCCGTGCCATTTCAGCTCCCAAGGTGATCTCCACAGGCAGAGCAAGCACAGTCTGAAAATTTGACGTGCACATTCGCAGTTTTGCAAAACATCTTTTAAAACTTCAAATTCGAGCAGAGGCGCAGCCTTTCTTCTGGATTTTAATGGAGTTAGCGATTAACCTTTCCCTTTCTCTTCCCCTGTTATTTTTGTTTCCAGTTACAGTGGTGCTGTTTGCAGCACTGAGACGGCAACGGAAAAAAGAGCCGCTGATTATTTCCAAAGAAGACATCAGAGACAACATTGTCAGTTATAATGATGAAGGTGGTGGCGAGGAAGACACCCAGGCATTTGATATCGGCACGCTGAGGAATCCCGAAGCCATAGACGATAATAAATTACGCAGAGACATTGTGCCGGAAACACTTTTTATGCCACGGCGGACTGCAACAGCGCGAGATAACACGGATGTCAGAGATTTCATTAACCAAAGGTTAAAGGAAAATGATACAGATCCAACGGCACCCCCGTATGACTCGTTAGCAACCTACGCGTACGAAGGTAATGGTTCTGTGGCCGAGTCCCTCAGCTCCTTGGAGTCGGTGACTACGGACGGAGATCAGGACTATGATTACCTCAGTGACTGGGGGCCTCGGTTTAAAAAGCTGGCAGATATGTATGGCGCAATGGACAGTGACAAAGACTCTTAAAATGTTGCCTTTTTTTTTTTTCCCCTTCCTCATTTTCAGAAACAGCATTGAGATATGTGAAGTGGCTATTTCTTTCTATTTCTCCACAGCTGTGTGAAAGGGTTCTCTGTTCTACCCGTTTGAATTGTATAATGACTGCAGTCTGTGTGGATCAGCTGTCAGAAAAGTTTTTCTAGTATCATTTTATGAGCTTCCAAGAGGCAAAATTCTTATTTTTTAGTGCATCCAGTTTACAGGCACGGCAGTAGCGGAGGAGAAAAAAAGGATCAGATGGGGAGCAATGTTTTTACTTGTTCTGCTTATATTGTAAATTGGAGTATATTACTGTTTAAGCTCACTTGCTCTTTTTACTTGTATTCAGACTATTCAGCTCAGACGGCTGCTCTGTCGATTGTGTATTGCACATCCCAATGTAATGAGGTACCCTAGTTTACCCTATGTATTATAGTCAAAAGTAGTGGTGATGGAATGAAGGTTTATTATACAAGTAGAGTAAGCTGAGAAAAAACATCAAACATGCCATTTTACTCATGAGGAGGGTAGAAAGGCCTAATGGTCATTTAAACCTAAGTGTTTTTCTAGAACTCGCCATTGCCCCCTATGCACTGAATCATACTAACACACACATATATATAGTTCATTGACTGCTATGTATATATTCTTCTGACCTAGCATTGCTGGAGAGATGTGTGTGCGTGCATGTGTGTGTGGTCAGTAGCCCCAATATCTTATTCTTAGGTGGTTTCCCAGTTCTAACCCAGACTTGCCTTGTGATACGGGGAAAGACATCTAATCCAACTCCAGATCAGATCACGACTTGGAGGAAGGAGCAGATCATAACTGTGCTTTTCTTCGTACTTCTTCGGTCGGCCTCCACCTGCGCATCAGTTCAGTGATGGCCACTGCAATGGGGAGGTGGGAGTCAGGCTTTTCATATCCATCTACTTCTGCCTCATGTGCAGGAGGGGAGTAGTAGCCTCAAGGTGACTGCCACCTGTTGGGGCAAAAGAAGCAACTGCAAAGGAGGAAAGAGAGCTTTTTTTGTCCTGACCTTCCCTGCCTGGATGCCCACGGTGGCTTTCTGTCTGACTCTCTGCCCAGTTTTGCTATCTGTAAAGTGGGAAAATAATGCCTACCTCATCAGGATGTTGCAAGAATTATATAAGTCATTTGGAAAATGCTTTAGAGATGGAAAATGCTGGCATTCTGCAGGAGGAAGTAATTTCTCATGCTTTTGGGTGGTTGTTTTCTTTTTTTTTTTCCCCAATTCAAGCCCTGAATGCACAAGTAAGCGAGAATCAATTGTCATTCCAGTAGCCTGAAAAGTAGGGTTTATAACTACAACTCATTTTTTAAAATAAACTACTCAGCCAGGGCTGTTAAAGACTTCACCGAAAGTTAAAATTTTAATCACCAGTCTCTCTGTGTGTGTTTATTTGCTTTGCCAAGCTAAGTAATTTTTGTCCAGGGGTGGGGTGGGGCAAGATGCCATAGTCTCAGGCCAAAACAATTTTCTTTACAGCTTGTGCACCACTCAGTATTTCTGTTGCTTTGTCAAAGGCGTGCAGTCACTGCTCTTCAAACCCAGCCATGTAGGAAAGGCTATCTGGAGAAAACCCTAAGGGGCTGCCATGGGACATATCCAATTCTAGGAGCTAATAGCCTGTGTCCCAGAGTAGGGACACAGCCCATGGCACTGTGCCAAGGAAAGAAGGAATTTTTGGGTTTGGTTTTTTTTTTTGGGGGGGGAGTTTTTGTTTTGTTTTAATATACCTCATACATAACTAATCTCATTTATTTCTTTTTGAAACAGTATTTAATACCAGAATTACAGGCATGGATCTATTTTCCCCCTCCCCCAAATCTTAAGTGAATCAGTTGAAAACTAAACAACAGTTCCAACTTACTCTAAAAATAAAAAGAGAAGGGAAAAAAGTTAATAAACAGAAAATTAAAAGGGATTAAAAGTTAATCCCTGGAATTCATTACTCCTAGAGAGTTAAACAGAGAGAGCAGTAAGATTCCCGAGTATTAGACTTTTACAAGCATGACGACGTAATTTCAGATTTTGCAAACCAGCTCACAGTGAAGAGGATGAGCCAGCCACGCTGCGGTGGCCAGCTGGGACTGGGAAGGAGTCCTTCACAGTGGAGAGCACTGCGCATTTACAGGTTTAGGGCAAGGCAGCTGATGGCTTGCAGATGCCCAGCATGATATATTAGATGGGTTTCCAGAGTGGAGGAGCCCAGAGTTTCAAAGAGTCCCGAGCCCCCGGTCTTGCTGGTGGAGGCCTCTCACGGTGCTTCAGTCCAGCAGAGCGAGGTACCCAACTCCATCGCTTAGGGGGGCTGAGCCTGTCGCGCCCATCACAATGGCAATGGCACGACTAGGCCCTTATTATGTCCTCCTGAGGGCCCCTCAGTAATTTAAGATGATAAAAGCCTTTGAAAATCTAGCCCTTCATGGCTTCCTTGAAATCAGAGCATGCAGGAGGCAACCTGTCCAAAATCTGGCTCTGGCACACAGGAGTTACCATCTGGATTTCAGATATGTGGAGGAGCCTTGCTACGGCAATAGAACAATAACATCTCTACACTTGAAAGGGAATAAGGTTTCTAGGATAGCTATTTCATCCCAGCTCCCAAAGCCACTTTATTCCAGAAAAATTATTTTTTTACTCCAGAAGAATGATTATGTCTGATTAAAACCAGTTCCATCCCATAACAGCACCAGTATGGGGAGACACGGCAGCACATGCCTCCAATGCAGTTGTGCCAGGACATCTCTTGGTGTAGACAAGCGCTTGGCAGAGACCTGAGGCAGAAAGTTGCAGCGAGCTCTGGACAAGGGAATTCAGGGGTTTCCACAGGGCTCTACCGACAGTACCACAGGACTAGGATGTGTTCCCAAACTGACGTAGACAGAGATGCGTCTAACAATGAGAAAAACAAGTTGTCTGTGTTTTTCAGTTATTGCTGGTAAAAGAATTGCTGGGAAAGATTCTGAGTAGAAGTAAAACACTCCACCTGTACCAACACCAATATTTTCTAAATTTGTCCTAAGAAACAGATATATTTTTCCGACATTTTTATTTTGTTAGTTGTCAGGTCTTACTTCATTCTATGGACAGGTATTTCCTAGATGTTAAATGTTAATGGGAGAGGCAATCTTCAAGAGATTCAACCTTTTGGAAGTAGCAGGCTACGTTACAAGGCACAACATTTCCATTTCTCTGTCACAAAACAAACAAAAAAAATCCCACAAAACCCAACTAACTGAATATCTGTAGCACCATAAAAAGCAGAACAGTCATAAACAAGTAGAGCAGGGAGAAATGGCTTTGGGAATGTGTGTCTGCACATGTACAGCACGAATAAAAAGAAGAGAAATAACGAACGTTGGAAGCTGGCCATGTTTCAAAACCAGACTTATCCATGTTGAGCAGGGCCAACAGTGCACAGTCACTTCTAACACTTCCAGGTTTCCTGCGGCAGCCAGAGGGAGATTTGCATGGATAGAAAGAAAGACATCATCTTTTTCAGACCAAGCAAATTAAATCCAGGCCATTTCCATGCAAATCTCTAGGAAAGAAAGTCACTTTGTCATTATTATTATTATTAAAACGTGTTAAATTTCTGCAGCAGATCTATCTTGATGGCCTTCTGCAAGGTGAATTACGGACAGTGATTCTGAGCAGGTAACTCTCTGCGAACACCACCGCGTCAGCTCTTCCTGCCACCATCTGTTTTAAATCTCTCCATGTTTCCTTTGGCTGTAAGTAGTATTGAAGTGTTTCAGAAGACCACTGTCCCAGCTGGATGCTGCCATCCCCTGCCCATTTGTGTTTCAATTAACACTGCAGTCTGAGCTCCTTTGTCAAATGAGAGCTGACAAATTAACTACTACTTCCAATGAGTATGAACTATGTCGTAAGTTGTGAAAGGCAGGGTTTTTTTCCAACCCCTGTAGACCTATGAAACAGTAGCCTCCTCCAATAAATGTCAAAGCCATGTTTTTTATTTCTTCAGAAAGACTTGTTTTCCTAGAGATTGTTTCTGTACTTAAAGAAGAGGAACAAAAGCATATTTAATGTCTACAGCCTCATGCATTGCTCCAGAAGGAGGGGAAAAAACACAACAGCCAACGCAATGTTTTAATGCCAGTCTCTCCCCTCAGTAGTTTTATTTAGGCACAGCTGAAACAATCTTGATCCTGCCCATCATTTTGCAATATTACACTTTTCAGACCATACCTGCCTTTGTCATACACTAATCACTTTCCTGAACAGTTCAGAAAATTCAGCAGTAGGTATCCAAAAGCCATGGCTGGGGTTACAGGGAGTACGAGAGTCAGAGAACTGGGGGTTTCAGGAAGAAGAACAGAAAGTGAATTGCTTGGCGGGGTCGAGGGGAGGCAATCAGTCATATGCAAGGCAGGCCCATGGCACCTAAAAGCCACAAAGCTGTCATATTACATGTAGAGTTACTGGTTTTCAAAGGAGTTTTTACAGAACCTGCTCTTATATTTTTTCTGCATGTGTCTTTTGCTTTCTTTAAAAAAAAAAAAAAAAAAAAAAAAAGGAGCTGCTAACTTCAAATTTCTCCTTCCACAAAGTCAATTTGACAAATAAGGCATAAGTCCAGCATACAGAGAAATCCTTTCTGCTCCCATGGGCTTTTGACCTTTCCTATGAGACTGCACTATTTATGTAAATATACCTGGAGACACTTTCTATAAGCTTTTAGTTTTCTATGATCTATTACTTTAGTGTTTATTAAAGAAACAAATGTATAGAATTATTAAACATTCAGGTGAACACAACAAAGAAACAACACTGCAAACACAAAATTGTTCTGGATTTTGACACATAAAAACCCCTTCAGAATCTGTATGTTTTAATTCTGTGATTACTTTCATTGCTTTGAAAAATTAAACTTAAAAGAAAGGCCTTATAATAAATGCTATGTGCATCTTAACTGTGTTACTGAGCGAAATCAATCTGGCAAACTC